TTCATTACTTATTTTATCTAGTGCTAAATATTCTGTTTTTATTTGTATATTAATAAGATTAATATGTTTTGTTACATAAAATGACTATGTTCCCAGCTTTTTTGATGCAAAAACAGCAACAAAGAGAAAAAAGGAGAGACACACATCCATCTTGCTATCCTTATGAGGACTTCCCACACACAGCGCTCACAGCTTCTCTGCCTCATTCTGCTGCTCCCGTTTTCAACAACAGGCAAAAAATGCATTTAAAACAGCTGATGTTAACTTTAGGTCACAGTTTGAAACACTCCAGCAATTTTAATAAGAAAAACAACATGGACATGCTGATTACAGTGCGGGGCGAAGGTGAAAGTAAAACGGTGCTGAGCACCCGTTCGGTAAACAAACTTAAACACAGCTGTTCTTTCTCCCCTCATATTCCGACACAGAGGGGAGAAACAGATAAATTAGACAGTTAAAACACATTTACAGATCATAACTCACCCTTGTTGTAACATTCATCCTGTGTTGTCCATAAGCACTTTCCGCCCTGTTGTGGGTCCATTTCCTTGAAAAATAAAACTTAACCAGGCACTTTGAAGRAGCTCTGACGCTGGTAGTCTATGTAGATAATAATGTGGGTTTACACACCCAGAACCGAACATTTTGACTTCTGAACTTGCATATTCAGCATGACGCTATGGACTACAAAATCACACAGCGAGGAAAAAAATGGCGGACATTAAAATATTTGAATACTTCAATATTTTTGGAAGGTCATTTATGTATAATAGATAATAAATTTGACCCATAAAAATATAAATATATCTTTGCAGTAAGTGGACAGAATAAATTAAAGTTTTCTACACTCCTAGACACTACAATTGCACAAAAAATAGTTTATAAATGCAAAAAAAAGTGCATTTAGCATGATATGTCTCCTTTAAACTTATTTGCCTTCCATGGACCTCAATCACACAATTTTTCTAGCGGGGATATGACATCTATAGAAACACATCGAGCTGGATTTTAATTTGTGCAATAAGACAAAACAGTCTTGTTGTTTTCAAGAGTTTTCACCTTAAAGAAATAAGTTACACAACTGATGTTACAATACAAAGAGTTGGATGTTGTCTTCCATCCATCCATCCATCCATTTTCCTTTTCAGGGTCACGTGGGTCACTGGTGCCCATATTCAGCAGTCACAGTGCGAGGG